GCGGAGCCGAGCGGGGCGGGGGCGGCGGCCGCGGCCGCCCCGGGCCGCGCAGCCCAATCAGCACAGGGAGCTCCCGGCGCCCCCGGGGCCGCCCCCGCCCTGCCCGAGCCTCGGCAGTGCCCCGGGGTCCCTCCGGCCGAGCCCGGAGCGCTGCCCCTCGGGCGGACCCCGGCCGGGCGCGGGGCACTCCCCGGGGTGGCGATATAAACCAGACCCGAAAACAAACAAACAGCAACGCGACCTGTAATTTGGGTTTAGTTTCCCCGTCCCCTGCAGGTGCGCGTGCAGAGGACGGGACGGGGTGACAGCAATGGGAGAGGTGCGGCCTCAGCGTCTCCTCAGTAGCTCCAAGTTTGCATCTCTTTCCGCATGCAGACGTCCCCCTGCCCTCCCCCCCCAAAAAAACCAGCTCTGCCTAGGAAATGGTTTTGAGGAATTCTTGTACAATACAAGTGTGCTGAACTTATAGAGTGCTCCGTACAAGGAGGTAAGCTTTTGAAACGCATAGCGAGGTATTTTAATCCTCCGAATTTCAGCTGGCCCTCTGTTATTACCCGGCTACAGACGATACAGCGTTTAATACCTGTTTTTGTAATTTGAGGTGATGAACTTGGGATTTTCTGCCTCACTTTTAATGCACTGGCATTCGAGCCTAAATCTCACAGGTGTAGTGTTATCCACAGCGGTTTCACCTTCTGTTTGAAGCTGTTTACTTTCCACATCAGTAGTATATTTGCTATTGATGTGGAAAGTACACTGCCGGTCTTTACTTTCCTCCTATTTATTTCAAAACTATTGTTACATTTTCTAAACCTTTTTGCCAGATGGGCAATCATTGGAGGATAAGAAGCCACATTTGCATCATTATTCTTCTGATGAATGCTCTTTGGTTGTGCCGGGCACAAACCCGGATGTAATCACTTACAGACATATATTTAAAAAAAAAAAAAAAAGGAAAAAACCCCAGAGTTAGGTGTACCCTTGGGTGTGTGTCAGAACTCAATGGGAACAGGGTGTTTGTTGATCTGTTAATGCCCCAGCAGGATAAAAGGGGGTCCACAGACGCATTTACTGACGTAGTGGCTCTGCCTGCTCTCTGCCTCCTTGGTACCCTCCAACTTGCAGGTGACGCACAGAGGCACTGGCAGAGACAAGGGAGAGGGGAAAGCAGGCAGTAGGCTTGTTTGCACAGCAGCATTGGGTATGCAATATGCTACAGCTCTGTTCAACCTCTGTGCCAAGATGCCTTCTCTCCTCAGGAGGGAAAAGAAAGAGAAAGGGTCATGAGGTGGGTGAGCCACCCTTTCTTGCGGTGTCAGGAAGTAGCCAGAGCTCACTTTGGGACACAGGGAAGTGCTTCTGAGTTCAGTGAACAGGGACACGACTGTAGATCCAAGTCACATCTCTGTGATGTTATGATCTACTTATCGTAGGGCATGGCAGCAATAAGGAAAAAGAAAAGAAAAAGATTTTTGAATATTTTCCTCCATCATGGCACTTTGAGATCTTGCAGACCTGAATTTTGGTGGTGGTAGTGGTAAACTAGGCCAATCCAAGCTATCAGCTGGGATCTAATTGAGTCTGCAGTAGGAGTCTTGAGTCCAAGCCTGGGTCGTCATGCTTTCTTGACATGGGGAGCTCACCTGTTCTTTTATTGATAACACTGCTTTGGTTGGTGAATACAGGGTGTGGTGTCTGGGCAAATTTTGGTCAGGGCCCATCAGAAGTTTTGGTGTGCTGCCACAGAAGGCTGGAGTCAGTGTTGAAGGATAGAAACACAGCCAGGATACTTCTAGGCCTGAGTCTGAGCCCCAGGGAGGAAGAGGAGCTTCCTGACAAGCATAGGCATCCCTTCCCAGAGGGGCTATGGAAGCAGCAGGCTGGTGAGTAACCCTGCTAAAGGTGGGTAGCCCTGCTGAAGCTGCTGTAGACTCTGGCTGAGATGTCCAACAACCAGTTCTGCTGTCCCAGACCATGCTGCTTTCAACAGAGCTGGACTAGCTGCAATGTGCAGTATGGATCCATGGGTCTCTGATGGCCACCTGTCTGCTGCCAGGAACTTCAAGGGGAGGCCCTGCAGGTGGCTTAGGACAGATGAAGTTAATTCCACCTCAGACCCAGTCCCTGCCTGTCAGCAAGGACCTTTCAAGCATATATGTTCATTCCCTTGTAAACCCTGTTTTATCCAGAATGTTGTAAAGTGGCCTCAGTGTACATGAGAATCAGACTTGCTTCACGGAAAGGCTCCTCCTTTTTACTCCTGACACTGTTGCTTTTGAGGGTGTTTTATGTTACTAGTCCAGTTGTTGCCATCTTTCTCATCTAAAATCAAAGCAAGATAAAACCAAAGCTTCTGATCTTATTTGTGGTGATGTAAACCCAAAATGACATAGTGGAGGGCTGAGCATTTACCCCAGGTTGAAAAGTAGGAGAAGTTGCAAGAGATACTCTTCCCTGGTGGCATTTTGTTCGTGCTGGCTGGATCTGCAGAGGTTAAACATGGCAAAATATTCTTCTGTGAGGCTGTATTTCTCCCCTTATCATGCGTTCAGCTTCTTTCTGTTATACAACTGCAAGTCCCTCTGTTGTGAGCTTAACTCATATGTTTTTCAGGGAACAATGGTCCCTTTTCTCCCTGTTGTTGTGGTAGGAACTTAACATACCTATGAAGACATGCCTATATCTCCCTTCAACCTCTGTCTTCCTGCCATCATAGCTCTGGCTTTGGATTTGCTTACTTGGCTTTCTTAGCTATTTATATCTAATGTATTAGAATGAAAGACTTGGACTTTGCTTTGTTTTTTTTGTTTGTTTGGTTTGGTTTTTTGTTTGGTTGGTTTTTTGTTTTGTTTTGGGGTTTTTTTGTTGTTGTTCGTTGTTGTTTTTGTTTTGTTGTTTTTATTTTTTTTATTGTTCCTGTGTTTTGGGACAAGGTATGACTTGGGATTTTTTTTTTTTTTTTTTTTTTTTTAAGTTCCCCAGACCACTGTGGGACTGATTTCTGTTCTTTTCTGTACATAAGTTGATCAGGTCATTGCAATAGCACAGGTTTGTGCTAGGTAATTTGAGTGTGGGTTTTATTCCCTTAGACTGGGTGAGAAAAGTGCTCATTTCTTTTTGTAAGAAAACCAACCCTTGTGGTTCATTTTTTGTGACAAGTTTCATTGACTCTTGGTCATAGAAACAGCATTTTGGGGGGAAATATTAGTGAGTGTTTAGAATAGACTATTTCATTTGGAAGGGACCTATGTTAATCATCCAGTCCAACTGCCTGAGCAATTCAGAGCTGACTAAAAGTTAAAGCACATTATTAAGGGTATATCCAAATGCCTTTTAAACACTGACAGGTTTGGGACATCAATCACCTCTCTTGGAAGCTTGTTCCAGGGTTTGACCACTCTCTTAGTAAAGAAGTGTTTCCTAATGTCCAGTCTAAACCTTACCTGGTGCAGCTTTGAATCATTCCCAGGGAGAAGAGATCAGGATATCCCTCTGCTCTTCCCCTCCAAAAGAAGCTGCAAAGAGCAATGGGGTTGCCCCTCAGCCTCCTTTCCTCCAAACGACAAGCCCAGTTCCTTAGCCACTTCTCATAAGACATTCCTTCTGCCTTTTCACCAGCTGTTGCCTTCCTCTGGACACATTCAAGGACCTCAACACCTTCTGAAATTGTGGGGCCCAGCGCTGCTCACAGCACTCCAGGTGAGGCCACACCAATGCTAAAACAGTGGGATAATCACCTCTTTTCCCTTGCTGCTGACGCTGTGTTTGATGCACTCCAGGATGGGATTTGCCCTCCTGGCTACCAGGACACACAGCTGGCTCACATTGATCCTGCTGCCAACCAGCACCCCCAGATCCCTTTCTGCAGGGCTGCTCTGCAGCCACTGCTCTCTTGATTTGTACTTGTTCCCAGCATTACTCTGTCCCAGGTGCAGAATCCAACATATGAGCTTGTTAAATTTCATCCCATTAATCATAGCTCAGTGCTTTGGTTTATCCAGATTACTCTGCAAGACCTTTTGTCCCTCGTGAGTGTCAACAGCAACTCTCACTTTGGTATCATCAGCAAACTTCCTAATGGTGTGTTCAGGTCCTGCATCCAGATTGTCGATAAATACATTGAACAGGTCTGGCCCCCAGGACTGAGCCCCCAGGAGCACTGCCAGTGACTGATCACCAGCCAGAAGTAACCCCACTCACTACAAGCCTTTGAGCTCTGCCCCTCAGCCAGTTCTTCACCCAGCACACCATCAACCCATTCATCCCACTGCTGGACGAGTTGTGCAGAAGGGTGCTGTGATGGACAGTATGAAAAACTGACTGAAATACAGAAAAACTACATCCACCACCTTCCCTTCATCCACTGGGTGGGTGGCTTTATCATAGAAGGATATGAAATGAGTTAAACAGGACCTTCCTTTTGTGAGCCCGTACTGACTGTGCCTGATGATTGCATTGTTCTTTAAATACCTTTCAACAGTATCCAGTGTGATCTTCTCTGTAATTTTTCCAGGAATTTAAGTTAGACTAACAGGTCTGTAGTTCCCTGGGTCTTCCCTCACAGCCTTCTTGTAGATTGGAGTAACACTGGGAGCTTTCAATCAGCAGGGTCCTCCCCAGACTCACCAGATTTTTTAACTACACACCTTTTACAAATCAGAATGGAATATTAATAAATAGTTGGTTTTTTATAATGTACAAAAGTTTATTGTATTGTCATGTACAGAAGAGCCTTTCAGAAAGGGGTTTGCTTGCAATCTGAAATACAGGATATTATTTTAGCTCTTGCAGGATCAAAATCACAAAGCAATTGTTATTGCCTTGTAAGTTAAACACCGGATGACAACAGCATTTGTTCTGCAGCCAGGATAAGCAGGCTAGGGTCGTTATGCCTTTGTCCCAGAGTAATTTTTCTTGTAATTTTACTATGCACAGGTTGGGCAACTTGAGACTCTTTCCTGGCTCTGCCATGTTATGATTTCCAGGGTGCCTAGAGCACTTGTGCAAAAGGAAAAAAACCCCAACTTTGTTTTTCTAAGGCTGAAGGACAACTTCCTTGTTTGCTAAGGTTTCCCTGAGAATCTGAATATTGAAAAGGTAAGGCAGACGTGGGGAACACAGGCTTGTAAGTATGTCATATCTGGGCAAAGTCAAGTCTGCTGTCAGCCATAGATCTGGGGAATACACCTCAAATTGGTGTGTACATTAGAGGAGATTAACACAACTGTAAATGAGGAACTTGCACAGTGTTCTGCATTGTGCAGAAAAAAGTGTTGCCTAAAAATTGAGCAACTAGATCCTCTTCCCCAAAGGAAAGTAAACAAAGGAATGTTTCTGTGTCACCTAAAAAAAAAAATCCCTCAGAGTGGGAACATCAGTTAATAATCACCAGTCCTTGCTGGGGTTGCCGCTTTGTTTTTCTTAAGCAGTGAGAAATGGAATTAAATTAAATTACTGCATGTCTCTTGTAAACTGCCAGGACAAGAATGATTTTAAGCTATGTGGTTCATATATTACATAACAAAAAGTAAAAACTTAATAGGAACTGACAATCTAGAGCATTTTAAAGGAGTGAAAAATTGCATTCCACGAGCCAATAAACTTTCCCCTCTGTCATTCTGTTCAGTGCCCTCAGACATTACAGACTTTGTTTCTTGACACTGACATTAATGCATTGTTTCTTTCTTTTTTTTTCAGCTCGCCTTAATTCTGTTGAGAAAAGCCTATGTTGTTCCCTGAAAGTTTGTAATACAATGCTTTTAAAAATAGATATAACCTGTTTAACAAACTCAGCAGGAAATGTGAAGAAGTGCATCTCCTACTTTACTGGAGGTGCATTCCACCTGGCCAACAGCACAGGTGCAGCTCTCATCCTTCAGAAGTGGCCTCCACATCAAATTAAGTTTTGCTAAACACAGGCAGGTCATAGTGTAAAGAAAGGAAACCTCTGGACAGATTTTTAGAACTTGTGGCCATATGTAGTGCAATTTAGAAAGTGTTTGCAAAATAAAAGTATACTGTAGCTAATGGAATTTAAAAGGATTTAATTGTGGTGGGAGGCAAATAAGCAAAAGTCTTTCTAAAGCAGCTAGTGTTCAGAAGCAATCCTTGCCAATGAGCCATAAAGAGAAAGAAGCTGAGTCCTGACCAGTGTCTAAATGGCAGGAAAGCGTTCAGATCTTGGTGTTCTTGGAGCAGGAGCACTTTGCCACTGAGTGTCCTCTGTCCTCTGTCCTCGTGTGCCACAGCTGGTCTTTGCTGTTTCCTAAGCACCTGGTGGTTCTGGGCATGAGGAGTCTGTTGTCTTCTATGGGAACCAGAATGGCTCCCAGCTGGAGGACTCACAGAAGCGGGAGCCAACCTTCTGGGGGGAGCACAGCAAGGGCAAGGGGCACAAGTTGGAAGGTGGGAAATTCCCACTAGATATTAGAAAAAAATTCTTGCTGGAAGGATGGTCATGCACTGGAGCAGGCTGCCCAAAGAGGCTGTGGGATCTCCCTCCTTGGAGGTGCTCGACTTAACTGGCCCTGAACAAGCCCATCTGATTAGACGTGTTTTGGACTAGATGACCTCTGAAGGTCCCTCCTAACCTAACTTATTCTATTACCCTGTGATTTTGTTACCTCACTGGAGCAAACAGAGTAGTACTGGGACTCATTTGGCTTATTATAGCTCTAAGTGGCACCCCGGTGCACTAATGATTACAGATTATATGTTATGCTCAGAACATAATTCCATGTGGTCCCTTCTACCCTGTTATTTAGCCCACATGCTGATATCTTCTTTTCACAGATATGTGTATTTCAGATCATAACAGCAGTACATTTAACTACTTTTTCAGCTAATTACACATAGGGAAATTTTTCCATGGCTATCCTATTTTTATTTTTTTTAGTGTGCCTCTGGATATGCTAAAGAAAACCCAAAGCAGAGAACATGACACAGAAACCTTTAGCTCTGCTGGTGTAATACCCTTCCCAAGACAGCAGAGCAGGGATGAGAAGAAGAGAAGCTTCTGGAAAAGAGGGACTCATTTCCCAAGTGGATGCAGGAGCAAAGCTGCTAAGTGTGTGCTTCAGCTAATAGGGGGGTGGCAGCAACCAGAGACAGCAGTCGAGGAAATGTGAGATTACTGGCAAAGGTCCTGGAGGAGGCAGAAATAAGGTGCAGAAGAGCATGAATGAAGGGTGATAACTTACCATGTTCTTTTTACTTAGCCCTGCTTAGGTGCAGCCTAGCCCTCAACACAAATTTGTCCCAGTTTCCAATTTGGAGGAAGGGAAGACAGGTGAAGGTGAGCATCTGCTTATACCTTGCCACCAGTATCTCTATCTGCAAGGAAGCTCTTCCATATGCCCTGCTCCAGTTCCTCTCCCCAGTTCCTACAGCAGCTCCTTATTCACTCAGGGAAGAGCTGTGGTATGAAGAGGGCGTTGTGGTTTACTGTCCCAGGCCCCACTGATTATCAGGCACCAATTGTCCCAGCTGGTGGCATAGAAAGATTTAATTTAACTGAGAGCATGAAAACCACAACCTGGAGCAAAGCAGCTTCTGTAGTGTGACCTAATTTGAGAGCAAATGGACTGGGATCAAAAAAGGTCATGGTGACAAAGTGGAGTTAAAAGCTGACTTAGATCAACATGCTCAAGCAATTGAGAAACAAAGGGAATAAGGAAATAACATGTGACAGATTCAAAAATCAATAAACAGGTTGTGGTTAATGTGTATTTGATCTGTCATCAATACTGCTTTTGATCCTACTGGTTTGATTTGGTCTCTGAAGTGGTGTGTGTATTTGAAAGAGAAGTGATAGCCAGACTGGTTTGACAGAAGTGGGTAAAACCCTCCGGCAAAAAGGGGGATTGCCTCCAGGTGAAGAGGCTCTTGGATAAAATCAAAATTAAATCTGCTGAGCTTAAGGAATCACAACTGAAAATGGCAGTAATGAGATCTGAGGAGAAAATGAACGCCTTAAAAACATAGCTGTCAATGTCAGCATGTTTTGTGCTGAGGAATATGATTGAGTTTTCCTTGTCTTCCCATCCACCGAGAGCACAGCCTAGTCAAAAAATGGATCAAATGTACTTGGAAGTTTTTTTAGTGTACCAAGCAGCACTTCAGCTCATTTTTGTGTGAATTTTGTGTGTGGCACAGGGTTTTTCTTTTCCTTCAGTGCAATGTTGTGCGTCCACACTGAATCTTGAGAAAACAGTCCACCAGTGTCTACTGTGTGCAGTAAATGAAGCAGTATATTACCTAGGAGAAAAATCATTTGGACCTCTTATTTTTGCTGGGTCACAGTCTGGAGTAGCCAACCACACATTTGCCAAGGGCAGGACATAATGTGCTTTGTCTGTTATGTTAATGCTTTCCTAGTCCTATACAAAAAGTATTTTTCTTTGATTGCATTGCAGTAGCTCTACCTTGCCATTGCCTTTGCAAAGAAATAAAGCCTTTTCCACTGATATAGAGATCCAAGTATGCGCTGTGGTTTTTTTCTGTTTTCCTCATTGTTCAAGTGTCTTTTCTCAGCTGACTATTTATTTCAGGGGCTCATTTAGATGTTCATTTTAGCTTTTTAATTCAGTTGAGCTGCAAGCCATGTGAAGAAGCACAGAGTCACTTTTGAGACTTTAGCATTAATACTATGTAAAATCTCTTTTTTCATATCAGAAATGCATTTCAACTTTTAGAAAAGGAGAAAAACAATTTTGACCGAAGTCCAGTTTGTAAGGAATGTTTGCAGCACTGGATGGTGCCTCATGCACATGGTCAATATTTCTGATTTTGGTGGTAAGGCTTTATGTGGATTTAAATATTACACTGTTTTGGGGGGGGGGTTTCCCCAAAAAAGCTGTATAGTGGGAGAAAATGGGATAATGCAGGAATCTCTTTACTTGGTGCTAGCTGTGGGAAAATTCAGTTTCCTTTTCTTTCCCAGTTTCTGGTGTAGTTATTTTATGTAGACAGGAGTCAGAAAATCTTCCAACAGCAAATATATATATTTCAGAAGTCTCTAGGTGACAAAGTGGTGGATTTTGATTGTGAATTGCTTGATAGATATCAGCAAAACAAAAATGCCTGCAGATGCCAAATAGTGAGATTGGAGATACCAATGTATTTGGTTTTTTTAGTGACTGCTCTTTGTTTTTCTACAGGTGCACTATTGACAAAAATTACTTTCAATGATATCTGAGGATTAAGGGTTTATTTGGAAAGATAGCCCAGAGCATTTTATTTATGTGGTATTCTGGGAAGTGTTAACTTTTCTATGTACATACGGGAAAAACCTGATTTGGTAAGAGAGGTTTAGGACGTGGCATGCAAAAGCTACAGGTTTGCTGCATTCAGTAAAAGACTTGACACAAATGTTAAAATTTAGCTGGAGGAAGTGTTTGTGTTATCGCTGGATATACTGTTAATGTGAAGTTCTGTGCTTTAGTATGAAATGCAAAACATAATAAAGTAGGAAATTCAATTGCCATTCATAAATCCCACCTTACCCCCTCCAGTCCCATTAAATACAGGGCATCTCTGGAAAGTGTGTAGATTTATGGGATGAATTTTCCTGCCTGTAAAGGAAACCTAGAGCCATTGGCTCTAGGCATAGGCATTAGCTTACTGATGCCTGTGTGTGGGCTGGTCAGTGGTGGAGCGCACTAGAGCCATGTGGAGCTGCAGTTCTGTGCCAGCCATTGTCCTCACTAGGCACCTTCCAGGGAGACGTCACATGCTCTGAGCTGTGAAAATATTGATTTTGGGATCACATGCCTCAACAAGTTTCAATTTTTCTCCCATCCCAAACAGGATCTAAGTTCAAGCTGGGATCCTCGTCAAGCAGGTGTATGCCCTGGAGGTTGCTACAAGCCCTTTGGCTGCCTGTACTTTGCAGGAGGTTTTACCCACCTCTGCCACAACTGTTCTCCAGCTCTGGCAGCACAACCCCAGTGCCAGACACCTCCGCAGGCTGAGGTTTGCTTAAGCATGACCCAAGGCATAAGTCCCTCTTTCCCGTCTGCAGCCTCTCTCTGTTTCAAGCCACTGTTTCTAGAGAGGCGCTGGCCAAAGGTTTCCAACCCCAGGCAGGTGTTACTCTCTAGCTCTACACAGGGTGACCAGAGAAATGAAAGACATGATGGGTTTTGAGGATTGAGTTTAAAGTATAGAAATGAAAAGCCACAGTTAAACCAAAGGGAAAGCGTAATCCTCTTCCATGTTCAACAAAAGTTAATTTTCTTCTTTTTCTAGCAAACCTCATACCCGTAGCACTAACTGAGCAGCCTCTGCTCACCCACTCCACCAGCCTAATATCATCCTGGTCTCTTCTAGGTTTCCCACCTGACTCCACACATTGGCTGCCTGCTCTTATCCCAGTGAGTCATGGCATGAGTGGTTCAGCAGACAGGCACCCTTGAGTCTTGAGCCCTCATCCCTCTACCTCTCTCATGTCTCCAGCAGCGACTCCCTCAGGAAGTGTCTCGGGCAAGCAGAAACAGCCCAGTTTCCCTGTGAACCTCACAGATGCAGTTGTGTTTCTTGGCTTTTGGCAGGGAGCAGCAGCATCCTTGGATGCGTGGCAGCTGACAGACTCTTTGCCCAGATGCATTTCAGTGATTAACCTGCTGTCTCCATCTGTCAGCTTAGGAGTTTCTATGCCACACCAAAAAAGACAGGAAAGTTAAAGATTAGGTTGAACTCCCTTTGACTGATATGATGCCCCGAGGGTGGGCATCCCTATGGATATTCAGCTAGATATCTACCATGTGGCTGGAGCAATACAGAGAGCTGTAAATAATGCCCATAACAGCTTGTGTTGTAGATTTGCTCTCCAAACAAGGCTTAGAGAAGCTAAGGGGCTGTGTTTTCCAAAACAGAATTGTAAGAGGTCACTCTCCTGTTTGTGCTGCCCCTGAACCCAACCTCTCTTCTGCAAGACGTTTCTCGGCACGCTGGTGGTCTGTTGGCTTGTGAGAATGGTCCTTGCCAAATTCTTCAGGCACAGAATAGGTTGTTCCCTTCTCATTTGTAAAGCATTTTGGTTAATATCTAATGAGAAGTGCCTTTGAACTGCTGAACTTTAAACTTGGTGGAAGAAGCCCTCCCTCGAGTACATCAAAGCCCACAGCTGTGCTTAGGGGAAAGATTCATGCCACATACTCATCAAGCCGAGAAATTATTCCAAGTCCTTTATGTGGCACAGGCATCACTGAATATATTAATATGCACAAGTAAATAAAATAAAGCCATTAGACTAAGATCACAGAATCCCAGAATATTCTGAGTAGGAAGGGACCCACAAGGATCATTGAGTCCAACTCCTGGCCCTGCACAGGATCATCCCCAAGAGTTACACCATGTGCCTGAGAGTATTGTCCAAACACTTCTTGAACTCTGTCAGGCTTGGTGCTGGGACCACTTCCCCAGGGAGCCTGTTCCAGTGCCCAACCACCCTCTGGGTTTAGAACCTTTCCTAATATTCAACCTTAACCTCCCCTGACACAACTTCAGGCCATTTGCTTGGGTCCTGTCACTGGTCACCACAGAGAAGAGATCAGTGCCTGCCCCTCCTCTTCCCCTCATGAGGGAGTTGTGGACTGATACACATCCCTGAGAGCAGAATTTGCTCTGCAGGTTTTCAGACTGATATACCAACCACTGATCTTTCACAATGAAAATCTCTCATGTCTCAGAACAAAGCAAACAAGTACACTCATATATATATATAAATATATATAAAACAAATGTGTTACAAATACTTTTATATATCCCTGCCTTATATTATGTATCAGAAGAGATCAGGCTCTTATCAAAACTTGATATAGGAGAAGAATTATTAGGCAACAACCCCACCAACCACAGTTTCATGTTTTCTTATTATTAGACATGTACACTTCTCAATAAGTAAGTGTTACCACTATAAACTGATGAAGCCAATACATAAAATAGCAAGAATGAAATAAAGGTTTAGGATAAGTAGAAACCCTGATCACAGGGCTTCTCTTTGTCCACAGAATTTCTTCTGCATTAGATATTCCTACATACTACTGCCCACTACCCGTATATCCATGGGATATTTCATTACTAGAAGTGAGATGGGTGTGTAATAATTACAGCAATTCATTAGCCTTATCAGGAATTATCTAGATTTACTTGCAAAACAGAGAAGTACTTCTTTTGTAGCTTTGCTTTTCTGGCCTGAAGATGCCTACCAGGACAATAACTTCATTAGGATTTTACTTTTCATCTCTTTTTTTTTTCTTTTCCTTCTACACTGTTTGTGTTTAGAACTAGCTGTAGTGTGTAATCCATTATAGATTTCCCAAATGAGCTGGTTGTGAATTGCAGGTCACTATCTTTCATCAGTTCCACTCAAACAGCCATTTACGACAAAGTATGACATTCTGGCTTGGTTTGTTTGTGCAACAGCTGAGATTTTTGCAATGGGGAAGTAAGGTACTTGAGTCATGTCCATTTGTTTTTGATAGGGTTACAGTAGCCTTGAACAGTGAGGTGTTTCTGAGGTTCTTTTCCTGATGATTTCCAGCATTTGATGCTGATTTCACTTTTTTTCTTTTATGGCAGCAGTCATTTGTGGCTGGATAAGCCATCTCAAGCCCTTCCTGATACTCAGGTGGGCAATAAGGACAGTGTTTAGCATTTCTATGGGCCTTTTCTACTGTTGCAACACAGTGGTTTTCACTTTAGCATTCCATCACCTTCAGTAA